TTAAAATAAAACAACAATTTGGATTGCCTAGCAGGATTTACAATGTGTCTAAAATATACACAAAAGCAAATACAAATCTAAAACGTTGGGAAACTTTTTGACGACTAAAAATATTACTTTTGGCTACTAAAAGTTTAGTCGCTAAAAGTGTAATTTTTTATAATGTATATTGTGATAAAAACATGATGACATAAAATTAGAGGGAGAAAGAGGAGACCACGTCCAAATCCATCCGAACATTTAATTTATGAAGGAGGAAAGAGGGTGATGATGATGATTACAAACAAAAATGGTGTGGGATTGAAGAAACCCATGATGATCCTTTTTAAATGAGTTATGTCCTCACCACCACTCTTGACCATATCTTCTCTTCTTTCTTCTTTTCTGGTAGTATCGGTAGGAATGTTTTTTATATGTCTCAATGCATTTCTAAGATTTAAATTTCAAGTTTTAGCTTAACTCTTACAACCCAACAGCCAATTTCAAATTTTTAGTTGGGGGGTGAATCTTTCAATTAGAATAAAATAAGAAAGTTGCTTTGATTGGAAGAAATTTACAGCATCAGATTATTATATATATATATGTTTATTATTGCATATATTATTCACACGGAAAAAAATTAAATAAAGGGAAAATTAGAATTATGACAAATCATGTAAAGATGTTATTCATTGCTCACAATTGTACAACAAAAATGTTAGAAAATTCAAAAGTTTTGCTAAATGTCTCACATTGATAGAAAATTTAGTAAATTTTTTAAAATCTCGAACATTACTCATTGTATAATAATGCAAAGCCTTAAAGAGATATCATCCATTACTTGATATTCCAAAACCAAATATATATATATATATATATGTATGTCACAAAATTGGTTTGTGACACAGAATTATTCAAAGGAAAACACATTAATGTCTACTTGTTGCAACGCTTAATGAGAAAGAAAACGTGGATATTTTGTTTCTAAAAAGCATGATAATAAGAGAATAAAAACGAAAAAAGAAAAGAAAAAGGAAAAAGAGAGAGAAGAGGAGGAGGAGAATGAAAGGTGAGCTACTAGTTGTGGAGAGGGTTTGGGGATGTGGGTACTCTTCGTTTGGTAATCTCAAAGTTTGTCTGAGAAGTAGTTCCATTGAAGCTAAATGCTCTTCCACTGAAGAACTGCCCTTCTCACGCATCATCATCATTATCATGTTCTTCTTGTTGTTGATGTCGTTGTTGTCATTGCTTCCTGACCACCATTGATCCTCGCAAAACATCCGAATTGCCTCCACCTTGCCAATATTTCTACTGCATACACATATCTGAAATACTGAAATGCAGACCAACACTATTACCAGAGAACACGGCATCATGAGCCTGAGCCTCCTGCTGCCCGCCAGCGCTGCCGCCCGAACACACATTTAACTGTCTCTGTGTGTTTGTGTTTGGAGCAAGGTTTATGATTGTGATGGTTACCGCTACCCGTTACGGCCGTTATAGTGGCGTGACGGAAATATGGCTGTTTTGGTGTTATGTAACGGCCGTAACAGTCCGTTAGACATCGTTATACTCTTTTACAATATTCTGAATAGTTTTCTTTTCTCAAGAAAAAAAAATAAAAACTTACAAAAACAATAAAAAAATACTCAAGTGATCCAAACCCAAAGAAAAAATCTTATATGAATTTTTTTTCTTTATAATTTTTTAAAAAAATTTATGACACAATTTTTATTTTATAATTCTTTTATTTAATAATTGTGAATATTTTTTATTCAGTTAGTTCAGGTGTTGGTAAAAAATAATTCGTAAACATTTAAAATCAATTATGTGATAAAAAATAATTCGTAGACATTTAAAATCAATTATTCTTAAAATCATTAACTATTGAAATAAATGTAAAAAGTTCCTTTTATAGTGATTTAAAAATATGAAATATATTGGATCATATTTAAAAATTAACAAAAATTAATTAAAATTTATTTTAAATCCCAATAAATGTAATTCTGAAATATATATATATATATATATATATATGCATGTTAATAAGTTTCCTTCAAATTGTGCGAAAAATAAAAAAAAATATGATTCTGATTATCGCAACTATTACGTTACAGCCTTTACATTCTGCAACTGCTATTACGTCACTACAACCGTTAGGACGACCGTAATCGTTTTTCAAAATCTTGGTTTGGAGTCTTTTGGAGCTGAAGATTTGCAGTCAAACTTCAATCTTCAAACTCCGGACCCCACATTCATTCATTCTCTATTGTAGGTACTGGTTACTAATGACTGAGACTCAAAATTTTTTCCCAAGGCCCGTGCCTGGCTCCGGTTTTTTTTGTACTTTTACTTGGTCCTATTCTGTATTCCGAGTGGGTTGTCTCCGCCCAAATAAGACTTGGGCTTGGCTTTAGGTGCCAACTTTATGCGTTTGCCCCGTCTGGGTGGTTTAGTGAGCTCACTCTGTCAGCTGGGCTTCTGGCCCATCGGCGACTAAATTTTTAATTTTTTCTCTCTTTGGTATAGTGGAGCTAAGGGTGGACATTGGCCAGTGATCCGTCCAGCCCCCCGCCCGGTCTTATTTTTTAAGATTTGAGGAGGTTGTTTTAGGTTATAAGATTGGGGTGAGTCAATATTTTTAGCTCGTTATATTAATGGGTTAAGTTTAGGATTTATACTTTCAACCCACTCTGACTAGTTAATTAAGTAATTATAATATATTAAAAAATATATATTTTTTGTTAGGATCTAAATTTTATTTTTGTTAATTTTATTGAAACTCACATTTGTGGTGGTGTGTGATTGAATTTATTTAATAAATCATTTAATTTATAATGATGTCAATATATTTATTAAGAAATATAATGCATAATTGAATTTAAATATGGAATATTTTAAAAAAAATTTAACATATAACCCAATGGATAAATTTAGAATTTATAATTATTTTTTTAAGTCGGGTTTGGGCAGTAGAGACTCGATGTTAGGATCAAGCCGGGCTTGAACAAATATAAAGTCTCTTATTATAAAGTGTTGGTCCGGCCCGAACCCGGTCCGACTTGACAAATGCCCACTCCTAATTGGAGCCCATAGTTTGGGAAGGACAAATTGAATCTTTGACCTCCTATTTATTTTGAACTTGGCTTGCATTTGATCTGTTAAAAATTTATTTGAGATTAATTTGTTATATAAATAAATTAAACATGGATAACTTAATACTCTGCCCAATAAGCATATACGGACAATAAAAATCCAAGCTATTTTTTTTTTTTTGGAGAACAAAAAATCCAAGCTATTCATGCTCTACTAGTGTTCAATTTTGTAAGAGCTCAGATTAGCTCGTTAGCCAAACAATTCAAGTTTAAACACGATTTGAAGCTCGTTAAAATTGTAAATTAAATTTAAAAAATTATACTTTTCAACTCAACTCAACTCATTTACAACCTCATCTCTTATTGACTTGTAAGCACTAAGAAAATGGCTAAACTTTGTTTGGAAGTAATTTCTTTTTTAATAATTAAATTTTTTGTTGAGATTTTAGAATTAAAGTCCCAAGAAAAATAATAAAATTGAATGTTTTTGACCAAAACAAATATAGGGTAAACTACCAATAGGTCGTAATAGTTAGATTTCATTCTTATTCAGTCCTATTAAAAATAAGTCATAATACAATCATCGCTAAAAATAATTTTTTATGAGGGTTTTTTTACATATATTGTTACAAATTGACAATTAGTGACTTTTTTGCCACGAATTTGTAAATTGTAGCTAAAATTTACAATTAGTGATATTTTTCTGTGACGAATTTTTTAAACTGTCTCTAAAAGTTAAAAATTAATGAATTTTTTGTGATGATTTTTTTAAATTGTTGCTACACCTTATAATTAATGACATTTTTTGTGAATTTTTTTTCAAACTATCACTGAAAATTAACAATTAGTAATGTTTTTTAATAGTACATGATGAAAAATGTCATTAATTATCATAAGACCTATTAGACAATAAATTCACTTAGTAGGACATACACGTAAGTCTCAAAAAATGTACCCATAAGAAGTCTTTCCTTTTTCTTTTTTCTTCTTCTTTTTTTTTTTTTTTTTTTTTTTGTTTTTTTGTTTTTGTTTTTGTTTTTTTTAAATTAATGGGGGCATAAGTGGTCAATTGAAAAAATAAACATAAATTAGCAGACATACTTTCTCTATCATTTGACCAATTTTGCTTGTTCTTATCCATCAACGAGTATTGGCCACAAATTTTTACTTAACACTTTCGTTGGATTTGTACCCACTTTTTTTTTTTTTTTTCCTTTTCAAGTGGTGGTTGTCAAAATTTTCTTTTATCTTTTTTCTCTTTTTGGTGAAACTTTTGATGGAGCTAGGCAGCAAAATGTGCACCATTCTTACACTAATCCCTCTTTTTCTTTTTCTTTTTTAAATTTTAGTAATGCGAGTATTCAGGACTTTTAGTAATGCCAGCTTATACAGTTTCTAAACTGGACAAGGTGCTAAAAGTAATACAAGCATTTTCAGTACGTTGTTTAGGAATTTGAATGCATTGGGTGGGTATGGTGCCATGATGAAACAACCAACATTCTCCAATTGTTGTGTTGAATTGGATGCATAGAGAATACTAATTACTAATACCTCTGAAGAGAAGGAATGGTGTTCCTGTCCACTGTAGGTGAGAGAGGCTCTTTCTGTACACAATGACAGGATTGAGTGAGAGAGTGAAAGCCAAAAAATAGACTGACCAACTGTTATCACTCATTCATATCCTCCCCTTCAAGATGAGATAAGATTACTCACACCCCCTGCCACGTGTCACCCGATGGTGGTGCTTGATGATAAGATTTTTTAGATTCAAAAAAAAAATATTTCCACCCATATGTGGCCACTATGGTCTAATATCACCTCCCACTTGATCCTACGCTCCCAATCCCTCCATTACGCACTTGATTTCATCGTCCTCCGTTAGATCCAATATAGTGTGTTCATATCTTTATATATAGGATTGATGCAATACTGTATTCTCTCAAATATTCAGACCTAGGTCACTGAATTAAGTTTTTTTTTTAAAAAAAAAGGAAAGGAAGAGAAGAGAGAGAAATGGCGTCCTCCATGATGACATCAGCTGCCGTCAACCGCATCACCCCGGCTCAGGCTAGCATGGTTGCACCCTTCACCGGTCTCAAGTCCGCTTCGGCTTTTCCGGTCACTAGAAAGTCCAACAATGACATCACTTCTCTCCCTAGCAATGGTGGAAGAGTGCATTGCATGAAGGTCTGTAATTTATTTATTTATTTATTTAAGTCACGGTTTTAAATATCAGTTGTTAGTTGTTGATATTGTCTGATATATGACTGTTTTGTCAATATTAATAACTAACTTGATGTGTATAGAGATAAATTTACATGAATTTGCATGTATATGTATATGTGTGTACGTAGGTATGGCCACCTATTAATAAGAAGAAGTACGAGACTCTTTCTTACCTTCCACCTCTCTCAAAGCCTCAATTGGGCAAGGAAGTTGATTACCTTATTCGCAAAGGCTGGATTCCTTGCTTGGAATTCGAGACTGAGGTCTGTTTCTTTTATCTCCTTACATAAATATGTATCTCGTCATGTTACATTTTACGTATATACTATATATATATTGTCATAGGTTCTCTATCTTAAAATTCGTATCTCTATATTCTCAACATACTCTCAAACACATCACCTGAACTTTGACATACTAAAATTTAGAGACATGATGGTATATTTGGATGTATGTTGATGATAGAAAGACAAAAATTTTAAATCACAATTTTATTTTGTCTCAAAATTTTATTAAGCTCTCAACATACTTTCAATCATTCCAGCATGATAAGAAATTTGAAATATTAAAATTTAGAAACATAATTGTGTAAATGGATACATATTGAGAACAATAAAATAGAAATTTTAAAAATATTAATTAGGGTAAATTATGCAAATAGTCTCTGTAGTTTACAGGATGTGTTAATTTGATCCATGTTGTTTCAGTTTGTTCAATTTTGCCCTTTAATTTAACAAATTGTGTCATTTTAGTCCAATAAATAACGATTATTAAGTTTGGTAGACGGAAAGTGTATACAATATGTCAATTTGGTCCCTACTGTTTTAATTTGCTCGATTTTAACAAAGACCAAATTGACACATTGTGTAAATTACAAGGACCAACTTGACGCATAGTTTAACAACTGTTTTATTGGATTAAAATGACATAATCCATTAAATTAAGGGACAAAATCGAGCAAATTAAAACAATAAAGACCAAATTGACATATCGTGTAAATTTTAAGGACTATTTATATAATTTACCCTGCTAATTAAGGCACAGTTTCATTCACGCTATAGTTTAGCATGAAAAGCTCCAATTTATTTTCATTTATTATTCTAAACATTTAATTGAAATTTTTCTCATTTCTAGGTTCCCTAAAAAAATATGATGAAATTGGACCCAAAAAAAAAGTCCAGGTAAATAAATCAGTTTTTTCAAGACTAAAATAACATGAACGAGACAAGGCCAAAGTTACAGAAAGTTACTAAATTTTGTTTGTTTGTTTTTTGTTGTTGTTGTTGTTGTTGTGGGGAGATGTAGCACGGATTCGTGTACCGTGAGCACCACAATAGCCCAGGATACTACGATGGGAGGTACTGGACCATGTGGAAGCTGCCCATGTTTGGATGCACAGACTCGTCGCAGGTGTTGAAGGAGCTCGATGAGTGCACCAAAGAGTACCCTAAAGCCTTTGTCCGAATCATCGGATTCGACAACAAGCGCCAAGTTCAGTGCATCAGTTTCATCGCCCACAAGCCTCCTGGCTACTAAATTTCTTAGAGACGGACTCATTGTGACTCATCATTCAGAGACATTTATCAGAGTTCTTTTTAAGTAATTTATTTACTTTCAAGTAACGTTTATTTTATTTGGTTTTTCACTTTTGAAATTTTATCTTTGATTTCGGGCCCGGATTTTTCCAATGTATTTTGGAAGAGATTTTAAGTAATAATTTAATGTTGTTCTTCATTAATATAATTTTCTAGGTGTGGTGTGGAACTACTTTCATTTCATGACATGGGAAATGCATATCCGAAGTTTAAGAGCCATAGAAAAATATCTTCCAACTCAAATTTTTTAAAATTAACTAGAAAAATCAACAGAAAAAAGAAGAAAAATAATATTAAGAGCATATTCAATGGCGTGTTTTTTCACCTTTTTATTCATATATATTCAATTGCATGTTTAATGAGTTCAATAGATTCAATAACTGTGTTAAAAAATCAATATACATAATATATCGCACAACAGCAAAGTAATTCAAAAATAAATTGTGAACCACAGCAAAGTTTAAACGTATACTGTACACTTTATTTTCATACTATTATTTTGGTATTGTACTTAAAAATTGTACTTTAAAAATAAAATATGTAGACCAAATTTTTTTTTGAATAAAATTCACACCAAACTAAGTTTGAATTTGTACTATATACTTTATTTTGAAAATATAATTTTGGGCCCAATATTATTTATACGCAGAAGGGAGGAATTGAATTATGAACCTAAATAATAATACTAGTTACTAGATATCTCAAAATCGCATAGATTTCAGTACTGATTCAATATCAATAAGTTACATAATTATTTATGTTACTATGGCCTCGTTTGGAACAGGTTAATTTAGTAATTTTTTGATTATTTGGTTAAAATATGAGCTAAAAAAAATTAGTATGTTTGGGATGACTTCTTGGCTTTTTACGAAAAGATGTGCAAAAAAGTAGATGAAAAAAAGAAACTTTGACTTTTTGGTATAAGTTGTTGACTTTTTGACTAATTTAGTGACTTTTTAATTTTTTGGCTAAAAAGTTCGGTTGCCAAACGAGGCCTAATAATGTACTTGTTACTATGGCCTCGTTTGGGGACAGGTTAATTTAGTAATTTTTTGATTATTTGGTTAAAATATGAGCTAAAAAAAATTAGTATGTTTGTGATGACTTCTTGGCTTTTTACGAAAAGATGTGCAAAAAAGTAGATGAAAAAAAGAAACTTTGACTTTTTGGTATAAGTTGTTGACTTTTTGACTAATTTAGTGACTTTTTAATTTTTTGGCTAAAAAGTTCGGTTGCCAAACGAGGCCTAATAATGTACTTTATTTCATGTTGGGTTTAACGGCAATAATACATATCACTAAAAGTGGTGCTCTAAAGTACCACTAGTGAATTGGCTCACACTTTAAAAAAAAAAATAATAATAAGGCACAGCATTCACTGTCACATCATTAGTGCTACCACTAATTAGTGGTCTCAACCATTTTCCTTGGGTTTAAATGAGTTCAGTATTTTTCAAGCTTGGTCAAATAATCAAAAGTTTAAAATTTGTTAGAAAAATTATTCATAAATCCCATTTTGAGAAATGTTAGTCCATTTAGTCCTACATGTTTTCTTATAAACCAAATAGTCATTTTTTTTTAATTTTTGGCAGGTGTTATTGATTTGGTTTAGTAATATTATAGTTTACTTGTATGCCCTTTAGTTGAGATTTGATTTTGATGTTTGTTTGGATTGTGGGTAAGGTGTGGAGTAACATTTCTGTATTTTTTAGTGATTTGGGGGATTTGTTGATGTTACTGAAGTGGTGTGTCGTAATTAATGTTCAATCATTTGTGATTCTCCGAAAAGGGTGTGTTGGGTGTACGTATTTGGTGGTGTTTTTGCTGGGGTTCAGAGCGAGAAAGGGCTGTGCGATTTTTATCAGGTTGACTTTTTTTTGTTTGTTTCCAGATGTGTTTTATGACGATGTGTTCTTTATTGTTGTTTGTGGTTTGCTACTGATGTTTGCAACGGAAACTCACACAGTTTCTATCCGTGGTCGTCATATTCAGGGACGGAATTAGGAGAAGACTATGGGAGGCCATAGCCCCCTGTTTCTATAAACATTATTGTTTGCCATAAAACTTTAAAAATATATATATTATTTTATATATAAAATGCCATCCAGTATAAAAAATATGTCATTTTTCTTCCATCTTGAATTCTCTTTCTATTTTACATTGAAAAAAAACTTATTCATCCTATTTGAAATTGTTTCTATGGTATTTAATTTTTCTTAATGTATATATGATTTATATATCATATATACATACATGTGTGTTTTGTGTATATAGTAAAAAAAAATTAATTTTCTTTTGGCCCCTTCGATAGTCAAATCCTAGTTTTGTCCCTGGTCATATTTGCAGTGGCAGCCTTATACGACATTGGGTTTATGTTGTTTTCAAATATTGGGGACCATTTTTACGAATGTTAATTTGGGTTCTATTAATGCAACGTTACTTGCCAATTAATATGTTGGAGGCAGAAACAAAAAACTTTACATTTCTGTGGCGTTGTAACATTAACAGTGCATAGTTCTGTGGCGTTGTAACATTAACATTAAACATAACATAATAACACTTCGTTATTTGACCATCTCAGAACATTACTCTCTCTCTCTCTCTCTCTCTCTCTCTCTCACACACACACACAATAAATACATCAATCAACTACACTATATGACCATCTCAGAACATAACATGAACCAGCATATATTGTTGCAACAGCATATAAACACATCCAAATAGCATTTTATGCAAACGGTAAACACAACATAATAACACTTCGTCCATTAAAAAACGTACAACTTTTATTTCCACTTTCGACATAAACAACATCATTACAAACAAATAGAAATCGCAATTTCAAATCACAATACGACTTACAAACCCAATCACTGACGAAGTTAGTTCAACATCATACATTCACATACCCACTATCATTGTAGAATGCGGTCGAATCACTAACGACGTTTTTTCACCGACATTACGGTCTCACTGACGATCAGAGTTCAAGGATCCTTAGTTCTCACGATGAATAGTTTCTGCAAATGTTACCGACACATACGCCTTTTTGGGGTTCTAGGGTTTTTGTTGCTCCTGTGCTATGCTAATGTGTGATTGAATATTGGAAGGTCAACACTGCCAAATGTGAAGATTCAATCACACCGGATAAGGAACCCAATCACTAACGTTGGGATAGTAACTCAGAATCTTCCATAATATCTTGACCATTTTATTTGGGATGGAAGAAAACATAAAAAAAATGCTATAGTAAGCTTTTGGGTATTTTGGTCATTACAACATCACTAAAATCTCACATTTACCCTCTACCAACAAAAGGTCACATGTTAATGGGGAGTTTCTATTTGCACACACCCATTCCTCTCTTTACACATATTTTTCAATAAATAATTGGTTCGGAAGTTGCATTCCGAAAATAAACAACTTGTTCGGAAGTAGAGTTCCGAATTTTTTTCATTTTTTCGACATTCAACTTCCGAATGTGTTTATTTAATGTCTATAATAGTAATTTCACTTGAAAATAAAATTATAATAAAAATAATTTTTATTAAATGTATGTAAAGAGGGGAATGGGGATGTGCAAATAGAAGCTCCCATTGGTAGTTACCAATGGGGGTTGGATAGCTCCTTCACCTGGATGTTTTAAAGCAAACTGTGATGTGGCTATGACTCCAGATTCAACCTCTGCTTCTATTGCGGTTTTGTTTCGGAATTGGAAAGGTGAGCTCAATGATGGGGCTGTGCAGAGGCTAGAGGTGAACTCTGCCATGCAAGGGGAGGCGTTTGCGATTCGCAAAGCTTGTCTCATGGCCCAAATTCTTAATCTCTCTCAGGTTGAAATTGAAAGGGATAACAAAACAGTCATCTCGCTATGTGTTTCCAAGGACGCTCCTCCCTGGGTGTGTGCTCCTCTCATTGCGGATATTAGAGCTTTAGCTCGATGTTCTAATCTATCCTTCCATTGGTCACCTTGTACGGCAAACGGGGCAGCCCACTAGACTGCGAGAGCCTTTCTATCGGGTTCTTTGCCAATCAACTGGGTGTTAAATTCTCCCAAGCCTTTGGTGCAAGCTTTGAGCTGAGCTTTGTATTTTGCTTTGTTTTGTTCCCCTGTTTTTCTTAAGTTCCTGTGTTCAAAAAAAAAAAAAAAAAAAAGAAGCTGCCATGTTAATGGGTATATACGTAATTAATATTCAAATAGAATTTATCAATCCACAAAATAAAAAATATGACCAAATGGTTCAACACATTAACATTTGAGACTTTTTTGTGGGTGAATAACACATTAACATTTGAGACTTATTACTGCTTTACCCAAATTTGTTCTAGTTTTAAATTGAGTGAATCACAATTGGACCACTGCAATTTGAAAAGTGATAGATACTTTTGTGGTTGTGCTCTCGAACACATAGATACATAGAAGATAAGTTTGTCTTCCTTCAATAGCGCAAAAAATAAAATAAAATAAAATAAATAATAATAATAATAATTTAATTATATTTTTTTACAAAAGATTTAAAGACAGATTTTAAAATTTTATCCAAACAAAATTTCATGAAATTTCAGCCAATTCCGAAGATACTTCAACCAACCGGTCCAGCATATTGTGGTTGTGGTTGAACCATTTGAGGACTTAATAATTTTTTTATACTATTATATACGTGAACACATGATTTGGTGTCTAATAGTGTGGTGACTTCTCCTTGTGTCACGTAGTAAATTTTTCTATTCTAAAATAAAAAATATTGTTCAAAGATGTGAGTAAAATTTGAACCTAAGATATGGATTTTATTAAGAATACTTTTATCATTTAGACAAAATATATATTATAATATTAATTTTTTTGTTATTTATTTTTATACTTATTTACCTAAATTATACATGTATTACATGTGCCACCCACTAATAATAATTAAAAAATTTGTGGTCGGGGTCAATCCCCATTCTATCCATTACATTACAATGATTGGACTAAAGATACTTCGTCCCAAAATATTGCTCTTTTTAGGAAATTTAGGATGTGTTTGATTTATGTTTTGAGATAAATTTTCAAAAATAAAATTTAGAGAGAGTTTAGAAATTTTTTAGTTTGTTTGATTATATATATTTTGAAAATAGTGTTATAGTTTGAAAGTTTGAAATGATTTGATA